GCCATATATATCTTCTTCAGTGAAGTGTCTATTAGAATCTTTTGCCTAAAAAGCTGGGGTAGTTTTATTGCATTATAAGAGTTCTTTATTCAAAATTCTGATACAAGTCCTTTGTCAGGCATATGTGTTGCAAATATTTGCTCCTATCATTCATTTTACTAAGTCTTTTCAAGAGAAAAAGTCCAAAATTTGATGAAATCCAATTTATTTTTACTTTTTATAGTTCATGCTTTTCATAGCCTAAGAATGTATTGCCTATTTGAGGTCACAAGGATTATTTTTAACTTCCCAAGTGAGTCTCGTGCAGTGGCAAAGTTAAGAACACTGCTCTATTGGGAATCTGACCTAGCCCTCTCAACAACCTGAATTTAGAATCATATATATTATAGTATCTTAGGGTAATGAATGTAAATCGGGAGTACAGTGATCTGGAATATTACGAAAGAAGGATGCAGCTGAGAATCCTAGAACTGTCTGAACCAACCAACTTTCAACTTTCAAGCCGAAGGGTAAGCAGCTGCTAAGGACTAGAAATAGCGCCCTGAAAAACAGAGTCAGAGGTGTTCCAGCAAAGCGAAAGGAGGGAGAAAGCACGGGATTGTTCTCTACCCTCCGGGAAACAGCATACCCAAACTTATTTCAGTTTAAACTAAGGAAATAGGAAAACTCATCTATTCTTGGTGGAATTCTTTAGAGTAGGCCTCTCACAGAGACTAGATGGAGCTGGGAGTCAGATTTGGCAGCGATCGGCCACCGTTTTTGAAGCCACCGCATTAAACAAGTGAAGGTAGCAGTAATAATATTTGCCCAAATCTTGGTTCCAACGGAGGTTAGACAGACTGAGCTTTCATAACGTGACATCTTCTATGTCAGAAGCACCAAATGGGCTCAATTTCCCCTGAAGTCCTAGACAAAGTGGGTCTGTTCCTAAGCTGTGAACAGGAGGCTACTTTCTCCAGATGTTATATTTAGCTAAAGGAATCCCCACCATGGCTTCATGCAAAATGTGAAATATGTCCCAGCAGACATAACCACAAACCAGCAGGGAGCACTCCTGAAGGGGCTTCAGTAGCATAGAGAGGCCAATTGTGCAACTACCCTGACATCCCCAAATTAGCTGAATTAGTGGTGTGCCAGATTTTTGGCCAGTTCTTACACTTAATGAGTCTTTGTTTCTCTCATAGTCGAGATTCAAGCCCCTGGGGAGAAAAACATACCACTCTATTTCACTCCCCACTTCCCAGCTGGCTGCCCAGACACCAGGGAGGAGAAACAACCCAATGTTGATGTTCAACACCTCCGTACCCTTTGAAGGTTTGTGTGTAAGAGAAATGGTTAGGCTCATTCTGTAACTGAATTCAATGGAAAAGAGTGAGAAAATCCAAAACGCCCTCTATTCTACACACTACAATTAGAATATGTAGGCTGGGATAAAACTCATATAAGATGACTGGGTTCAAAAAAATTCTTTTTGCTTAAACTCTAAAGTCCCAACTTACTCCTTCATAAGAAGGGATGATAATAATACCTACCCCCAGAGAATTATTTTAAGGATGAAATAAGATAATGCATAGAAAATGCATAACACCATACCTGGCACGTAAGGTTCAAAAATTATCGGTCCATATTTGCCAGTGTGAATCATCAATCTTAAGGTTTAAAAAAAAAATTAATGAAAGAAGAAAACCTATGACTTTTGACAGTGACAAATAGATTCAATGTCACCTAAAGCACATGTGATTCATGGCTGAACCAGGAAAGACCTCTTCTCAAAGCCTGCGTCCTCAGAGAAATACAGATTTTCCTTTTGCTGCAGGGACCCACTGACAGGTAAAATAAAAGGCAGACCTATTTTATATATCAGGTTCTGGTTCGGCACCGCTTGGCTGTATCAACAGTTCTCAAGAAACTTGATCAGTTGCTTGGCTTAGGCTTCTCTCCATACCCACTCTGTCCATACTTATCTTGATGGTCTTCTTCTCTGGAACTATCATTTACCCATCACAATTAAACAAAGGCCATCCAACATTGAAAAGGAAGCTCCCAGAATTGGATCTCTTGTCATCACAGAACTATAATGTTTAAGATTTAGAAGGCAGTATGGAGATCATATAGCTTTAACTCTCACTCAAGAAGGGTCCGGTGAGTGCCGAGGCCTGTACTCTGACAGACAAAGCAGTCCCCAGAAAAGCTTTACATTGAGGGAAAGGTCAGCCAAGTTCACTCTTCATATTTTTATCAGATTTCTACATCTTAACCAGTAGGAGTCTAATTCTTCATGTGCAACACATTTTAAACAAGAGAGACCTGGGGAGAGAATGTTTCTTTGTATGTTACTAGAAAGCAGGAGGTTCACATTCAGCCACAACAGAATTAATCAACTCTTAGAATCTACCCATCAGATTCTACCTTAGAGTTTTCTGTCTACACTGGAACCCTAAGGGGTAAAGAAGAGATTATTTGCTCTGTGGTCTAGACAGTAAACACTGGCTATTCAACAGTGTTTAGAAATACAACATATTTCTAATTACTGTAATATGATTTATGCAAAGTTATAAAGATCCAGAGAAAATTTTATGATATGCAGCTATCCACAACATGTAAATAAATCTCACAAAACAAAATTCTGAATAGAGAAACCATGGACAAAACAGTATGATTCTATTTATATAAAATTATGAAGCCAGGCCCTCCCTGATGGTGCAGCGGGTTAAAGCACAGCACAGAGAAGCTTAAACCACTTCCGCATGAGTTCGATTCCCGCCTGCCCCGGAGGTGACCACATGGTGTGGCAGACCTCTCCTGACCCGCCCGCTGCTCCCTTCAGCAGTGCACCTCGTCTATCTGCCTGTTCTGTACCCCACTCTGTCTCTGGTGAATCCTCTCACCCTCCGCATCTCTGGCCTGTACCCCAGTTCTGTACGAATAAATAAATAAACCTTTAAAAAAAAATTATGAAGCCAACCAGAACTAATCTCTGTTGTTAAGTCAGAACAATTGTTATCCCCAATTCCCCAGTGATTGGAATGGGGCAAGGGCATGAGTGAAGCTTATTCCTCAACTCTACATATGCCAGTGACTTCGGTTTTTGATGAAATGTGAATGGCATTTGTGGAACCAAGAACACTGTAGCTGTGAAATCTGACAGCCTTCAATATATAAATATCTTGGAGATCTGGAGGGGCCAGAAGATTTTCTCAGTCTGGTTCTTCCCTAACCTCCACAAGCTAAGAGATAAGGGAGCTGAGAGATTGGGTGACATCTAGAGAGCTGAACATGAACATCTTTCACAAAAATTTGTTCTCTGGTGAACAGAGAAAATGAAGAAACTGTCAATCCTCCCCTTATTGAAATAATCTAAGCAGTTGACAAGATCACAGAGAAGTACGAAAATGGTATCTGACTAATGCCAGAGTTCCACTGAAAGAGGTTCTTAAAGTGTTTTAAAATAAAAATTGCACATATTTAAGGTGAATAATATGACAATATGATGTACACATACATAGTGAAATGATTACTGTAGTCAAGTTGATTAACACATCGTCCTTGCAGTTATCTTTGTGTGTAAAAAGACCACCTGAAATTCATTCCTAGCCTATCTCCAATAGCCTATACAATCTTATTAGCTATAGTCATTTATTTTAGTCACATAAACACTTCACCAAATATTGCCGAATAAGTCACATTAATGACAAGCAAGCCAGAGCAGATGTTGGAACCACGAGGAGCTGTTGCAAAGTACCTGGATCTCTAAATGAAGTACGGTCCCACCCAAAGCACAAGCTAGTCAGGCTATTAAAAATAGTTAATGAGCTCTGGGAGAAATTATCTCTCATTTCCTTCTTTTTATCTGTCAGATGATGGTCCCTCTGATATCCTATCTCTAAGACACAGGGAAGGCTTCCTCATAGATGCAATTATGTAAAGGGAAGATTATAAATCAGTTGTTTTTCCATACTGGTACAAATAGAAAAGATTGGATTCTAATTCCAGACCTACTGAGATCTAGAAAACTTCCTAAAACTAAGAATCAGAGAACTGGTTAAGAGCTATGGCTTTTATGTATTTGTTTATTTGAGCTTGGGCTTTTATTGACAACAGTTGTAATTCCTGAAGTTCTTTCTCTATCAGTTTCAAATTTTAAATGGATGTTGTCACTGCAAGTCAACAAATTCTTCATGTATGAAATCAATGAAATAGACCCATATATCCTTTTCATACCTGTAACTTGTAGGAAAATTATTTACCTCTTGACCATGGTATATCATGATGGCTGGAGCTTTGTTACCATCAGTAACCAAAACTCATGAATGAATGATTCAACTGCCGGCTCAGGTTGCAAGGTCTAGAAACTAGGTCCCCAGGTTTCCAAGTGACTGACTCCATGCGAATTTAAGCATGAATTTCTTATCACACTTATTTTTGAGTTTTTCCTTGGTCAAATTTTCAATTTACACACAAGGAAGTGTGGCAAACAACTCAAGTTCAGAAAGCACTCAGGGACCCAAAGACAAAAATATGTCATGATAAGAAAAGTCAAATGCATGCATTCACCTTAGCCAAGATGAAAACTTGAAAGAGAACAAACCAAACGATAAATATACACAAATTTGCTAAATAATGTAGAAGAGGGAAACATGAAATGACACTGAAGGACCCTCCTCTCAACAGCTTCATAAAGCACTTGTAGGCAATCTACCAAAATACAGGCAGAATATAAACTATGCTGCCAGTCCTGGGGTTATACCTTGAGAATAGTTACTTTCCAAGGGCTACTATGAATTTAACTCAGAAAGGAAGCCAAAAGTGGCAATTTGGTATATTTTTTTCCATGAGTAGAGAATGAGCATGGCAGGAAGAAAACAGTGTAAAGCCTTTAAGTGAGTCAACATGATGCGCTTTCTTGAAAAGAAAAATAAGAAGATATATTTTTCTTTCATTTACAAAAAATGTGTCATTGTTCCACACAAGTAACTCTATGATTAGAAATAGCAATATACCTTTTTAAAGAGTCTTCCTGAGTCCTCGCTGACTTGGACAAATCGAGGAATAATGTTATTCAGGTAGATGTCACTCAGGGTGGTATGATCCCTGCTCTCTCGCTTCACCTGGTTTAAGAGGAGATTCCAGCAGTTGACTGGAGAGAGAACGTTCTGATCCTTCCTGCAGAGAAACAATAAGGGAAAAAAATGTTGTTCACAGGGGCCAACATCCTATCACAGAATCTCAACCCCCAAAGTCAAACCAGAAATACGTATATCTTTCCTTAAGACTGACCTTCTAGCTTTTTCTTTTTCTAAAATCTTAGTGGGAAAAAAGGGAGAAGTTAAAGAGGAGAAGCAAGATTATCTGGGAGCATCTAGTGTGGTCTAGAGACTTGGTGAAACTACTTCAGTTTCACAGATGGATGTGAAAAGGTTTTGATTTCACTGAGTCATTACCTCATGTCTCATACAATTAAGTGCATACTGTAGACCTGAACACCTTCTACAGCTTAAGAACAACAAAATGTCAAACCTAGACAGCCATTTCTAATGAAAACATTTGTTTCTCCCAACAAATGATTATCTACTAATCTCAAACACTAATCTAAGCAACAAAAAACCTACTGCTGCAAGTTACACTTCTCTAAGGGAAGAAACAGAAAGTGGGGTTGGTTGTCTGCTGTACAACTGGTATCTGGCTGGGCCCTGTACTCATGCTGTTTAACTTGAACCCCACAACAGTCTTGTAAGAGAAACAGCGAGGAGGTAGATAGTCTGCTGAGCCACTGAGGGGTGGTTCTGAGCCCTGGACAAGCAAATGTTGAGGATTCAACTTAAGATCCCTTGTAGTAAGTTCCCCAAAGGCAACAGAAATTCGACTTGGCTATTTTGTCCTACACATTAGGCAAAAACATATATTAACCAGATTGGAAGTAGACTTAGTTTACGAATGAATACATTTTTTACTGTACTATTAGATATCATTTGGATGAAGGTAGAGAGAAAATTATTTTACTGGTAGTCTCTCAACCATTTTTGAGATTTTTTTCTTTTGGAGAAAATGCTGGTCAGTCTAGGGACCTCTTTCTTGCAACGGTCAACAAAACCACATGGCAATTGCTGGACAAGCGGCAGGATTTTTCACCCTCTAATTTAGAGAAGTTTGGTTTCCAGCAGTTTGTCGTGTGTGTGTGTGTTAACCATATGTATGTGTAGATGTAAGCTCAACTTTCTGTTAAGGTAATTCTGTTTCTTCTCCTTCCCCACCTCTCTCCTCACGCTACTTCTTTTCCTTTTTTAAGTTTTGGTTTGGGGACTCTTATGAAGCTGGTGTATGCTGCTGGTTTTTGTCTTGTGAGAGGTTCTTAGGATGTACACCAGCTTAGGACTGGTGCTTCTGGGATCTTCTTGGGTATGTGTTGGAGAACTTTCTACAGCGTTGTTTTGGTTTGAGAAGAGGTGAGACTTCTGCTCTGGTCAGAAGTTCACTGGGACAAATTCTGACTTACTGAAAGGAGGTCTGCTGTCAATTGGAGGAATTCTATATGTTGATGTCCTGCAGAAGGCTCAGAACCCTGTGCTGGTTCGATGGCAGCCATGGCTGGTAGTAAGAACACACATGTTCAACACTTCCCGTCTCATTACCGATCATTGTACTGTTTATTATACTTTTGGGGCTTACCCAATTCATATTTGTGGTGAAAAATAGGCACAGCTGCTAGGTAATTCTAGTGGCACAGCTTTAAAAAAAAAAAAAAAAACTAGCTTTCTTTTTCAAGCATATTATCATTTGTAAATTATCTCAATTACAGTAACTTATAAATGTGAATGAGAATTGCCCTGATCTTGGACAACCCAAACAAGAACCAAAACTATCTTGGCTGTCGAAAATGATATAAAACTGCAACTCTGATATATAAGGCCAATTTCAGTATTGGGGGGTTCATAAAAGTCTTTTCTTTTCACAGATTGACTCTGTAATAGGAGTCTTTATAAAGTCATACTTCAAAAGTAGTTAAATACCGCTTGAGTTCTGTGTGTGTAGCGGGGGGAGGGTTCTATGCAATATTTTAATTTCAAAAAGGTGCCTAATACTTTTAAAAATTAGCATTAGACTCTTGTCTGTTTCTTCTAGGGGTTCTCATTCTCTTATTATTAGAGCAGCTTTTCATGCAGTATTTCCATTTTGTAAAGTTTGAGTGCTTTTTCAGGCATGATCTACCTTTCCAAGGTGTTTTAATTCCTTCTTTTTGGAGCAGTGCTGGGGCAGGAGAGGTGAAGGGCATGTGGTAGGAGGGGAACGCAAATACACTGTAGAGACAGCTTTCCCAGCCAACATGAACAAAGATGAAACAGACTTCAGGCTGGAAAATAAGCAAGTCAACGAGACGTGACTTCATAGGGAGCGCATTTAGGTTCTGCGAGAGTGGAGTGGTTTCCTGCCTCAGCAGCTCCACTGCCTTATTTTATTTGAGGCCGCTAGAGCCAAGGGAACTTCGTTTGCTGAGGAGATTGAAATTTGTTTTTATAGCTTTTCCATCTATCATTTGTTTGTACGGTTTCCTTACTTTCCCCGCCCCCCAAACTCTCTGGTTGTGTAATACTTGGGCACTTAAAGAGAAGGGTCTGCATCCCTTAGGAATGAGCTCAACAGCTGCAAACCTCCTCACACACTGGTCCCTAAAAAGCAGAGAAAATAGCCACAAGTATTTTTCTTAAAAATTTATTCAGGAGGGAGATCAAGAAAACTTGATACTGTCTTTAGTGACTATGACTCCAGCGTCAACAGGCGGGGGACCCCGCAAGCCCCGCGTCCACAGAAGAAACCGCCGGTACCGCAGAGGGGTTGTTTGCACAGCTCCAGCCTCAGCTTCTAATCAGTCGCCAGTTTTCCTCCTTCAACTTAGGTTATGGACTTTCAACAAATTTAGCAACAAATGTCTCAAGTGAAGAATGAATGCCAAGGGGGTCCAAGTTGGCATCTATACCCCACTTCCTCTTTTCTGTGTCCCTCTGCCTGGCTTCAGATGTTTCACTCTTAAAAAGGACACATGCTTTATCAGCGTGCACCTAGCTCCCCGAAGCTCTTCAAAAATGGCTGTCTAATCCCAGACGCTGTCCTGGCCTAGTGCCATTGAATTAATAACTGCTACATTCACAGCTCCATAGATGGGACCTGAGCTTGGCATTAAGTGGGTGGCCTGAGCGTGGGCACTGCTACACTGAAGTGTGTTTCCTTTTGGAACAGAAGTTCTGATGAGTCCTTCTCACAGCATGCAGAAGAATGGTATCAACAGTGAAGCACTATTCAGATGTGAAGAAAATCTATCATTTTTATTTCTAAACAAACTAGGACTCAGCTTTCATCATTATCCTTCACATTCCCCACCCACCCTGGGGAAGGGGGAAGGGTCACGAGTGCAGCCTGCTAAAAATGCACAGCCCTTGGCAAATAATGGTTGGGAGAAGACAGCAGCAACAGGCAATTAACCAAGCAGCTGTAAGTCTCTGGAAGACATGAAGGAGATAACCAAGAGGAGAGAAAATTCAATCTCCCGCTGCCTTTCCCCAAGGGACAAGGTAGAATGTCAGTCCTCCATTTCACACAGGGAACTATGGGCTGAGGTTGACCAGCGGGAAGGCAAAGGAAGCCCAAGATTGCCTGGGCCCTAGAAGCTTCAAAAGCTTCTGCTTAACACCCCCTTTCTGAGAATTCTTATCAAACCCTCCAATCTGTATACAAAGATGACAAATATCAAAACAGCTAAGAGGAACACTATTTCTCTTTTAAAAATAGATGTATTTGTATGTGATAAAAGACAAAAGCTACAGGAGTTAAATATATCATTCAATAATGTTACCGAGCACCCGAGTATGAAGATAAATTAAAGGTACAAGCCTAGTAGCAGGGATTGTTTAGTGATGCTGGACAGGGAACTAGTGACAAGGAAGAAGCTGAATTTTAAACCTAAATTCCCTCCTGGCTCCTTGATAAAAATGAAATGAACTGAGGCAGAGCCAAACAGATTACTTTATTCAGATGAGTGTTATTAGCCTTTCTGGCTTATTTTCTCTATTATGCATTTTGCTGACGGTGACAGAAGAGGATGGTCTGGATGAGCGGCAAAGCCTCAGCGGATTTATGGTTTGAAAGTGCTACGCATAAAATCAGGCCCTTGCTGACCCAGATAAGCCAGAGGATGGATTGGATTTGTTGGGGAAGGTGTTAAAAGAAGGAGGGGGAAAATCGCCAAGGTGGGAACTTACTTGAAGAAGATTCTGCCTATAATGGCGGCTGCCAGTTTTGACCCAGCAGAACAATGGCAGCCCGGAGGCATCTTTCAAAGACAGGCGGGCAGGGAGGGGGTCAGGTCAGCACACATCACTGGGCTTATCATAGCTCAGGCAACTCTGCCAGCACAGATCAGAGTAAGAGAGTTCACAGACAGACAGAGTGAACCGGGAGAAAGGGCAAGAATGTATATTCTATCTATTGAGAAAGGAACTTTTCAGTTTCTTTTTCTTTCTTTTTTTAACTTTGAAACATCTAGGGACAAGTTAATACCACAAATTGTCCTCAGTAGCCTAGGCAGCCAATTGGAAAGGATCCAGGCAGTGGTAGACCCACCTTACTCAAAATAGTCTAAATTGTCCCTTAGGCTTGGGAGAAGAACTGTATGGAAATAGAATTCTTGTGGGTCGGGATTAGTTCCAAGGAGCCCAGCCACACACTGGGGTGATGGCATGTCCAAGAGCTGGGAGCTTAAAATCTACTTTTAAGTTAACTGGACTAGCACTGTATCTGGCATCACAACCACTATTGCCTGAATGATTAAATGGCCAGAGTTCCTCTGGGTTAGGTAAGAGAACTGGGAATAATCCCCAAACCTGTGCCATTATGTACCCTAACTAGAAATGTCTCTGTCAATTTACATCAAAAGAAAGATTTGTTTCCTTTCAACCACCCTCAGCCCACCTGCCTTTAGAGGAAAGAGGAGGAAGTTGGCCTTTTAAATCACTCAAGATAGCTCTGTGGACCCCAGGAGAACAGATATGGGGTGGAGAGAGAGAGAGGGTAGGCAATTTACCCAAGATGTGAAAGTCAGATTTCTGACATTTTATTGTCCAGGCTCCTTCTCTGAGTTCTTGATCTCTAAAGTCTTATTTTATTCATTCATG